CCCCCCCCCCCCCCCCCCCTCCAATGTGTGTGGCTTGCAACAAGCATCTCACATTGAAGGCAAAAGGTATTGCACAAATTTGGCACGTGAATACTGCATGAATGGGGAAGGCCTGGGTTTTTCCCTCAGGTGAACGCAGGCTGCAGAAGTCTCAGCGCAGAATAAAAAGAGAAGCAGTCAAGCTCAAGCTTGACAATAAAACTTGAGCGTAAGGAAGATCGGGCTCTTGCTGTCACAGCAAGTCTAGCAAAGGTGAAAAAAAACAGTAGTGTAACTTTGGGCAAAACTACCATCAACTGGTCCAGTGTTTCTTACCAGGCTCAAGAAGAACCCAAATGTCCACATCCTCTGTACAAAAATTAGCAGCTTTAGGACAACATTGTTACTCTGAACACAACAGTCTGTCGCTTCTGCAGGTCTACCTGTCCCCTTGCACTCGTCAGCGTCTGAGGCTGTGCTACCTACTGCATCGCCCGCTGGGGAGTACATATCTCTGATTTATTGGGGACTATAGGAGGACATCGGCAGCCTAATGGAGGATGGAAATTGTTAGGTACAGTAGTTAATTGACAATATATACAGCAAAGGAGGAAGGGAGAGGGAAAGAAGAAGAGGAAAGTGCAAATGAGCACTTTCCATGCGTACAAATGCAAGATGTACATCAAACAAAGTGGCAATCATTATGGACACTCAATACAACATCGACATCCTGCTGCTCTGTTTGAACGTCTGCACTACTGAGCAATCACAAATGGATGGCCTGAGTGAGAAAGGAGGAGAGGGAAGGAGAGCAGGGAGGTTAACTACAGTGCAAGAAAGCTGTTCGGTTACAAAGTCCTTGCACTGAACTAGATCCTCACAATATTCACAGTGAGAACCCAAAGCCGATGGCCAAAGGAAATGGTTTGGGGGCTGGAGAAGTCAAGTGACCACTATCAAAGTGCCATCTGCACAGTAGGATACAAACTGGATGTTCACTTTGCTTAGAGTTGGATTGATCCAATTTAAGTAAACTTTTTATTTTCCTGAATGAAAATCCTACAAGAGCAGTTGGGGAAGGGGGGAAATCTGGGCAAGTCCACTGTATTTTCTTGGGTCAGAAAACATCTCTAAAAGCCCCAACACAGCCAAAAGCAGACCATAAGTCATTATTCACAGGCTATCAATTAATTTCTTTCCAACAGTCACTTGAGCATTTTGTCCACTTGAAAATCCAAATCCTGGTTCTGAAAACAGGTGAGGCAATACCAGGACACTCATTTCACCGGAACTGGAATCCCAGATATGCAGCCTTTTGGAATAACGGTACAGATCATAGCCCATGCTCCTTATTTTTTTGTCCCTGCTGGTCTATGCTCTTCTCCTGGAACAGTCTCAGAGATTGTGGGCCTCCTGGTAAAAAAAGCCATTCTTGGCAAAACTAATTTTTGCATTATTGATCAAATCATTTACATCATCTACATTACCATTAAAGACCAGCGGGAACTATCTAAAATAGATTAATGGACTCTTAAAATACGGAAGGCTGATTCTCACTGAAAAATCAGCTTGTTTGGGTAGGATTTTCTTCACTGCATTTGGTGAAAAAAGTACTAATTTAGAAAGTAATTTTTAAGTGCACATGGGATATAAAAAGAAACATAAGGTTTTTTTTTTTTTTTTTTTTTTTGGTGTATACAAACACAGCAGGCAACCTGGGCACGCTTGGACTTTGTAGACAGGCAGAAGAATGTTGCACAAGTCTAAACTTAGTCAATTCAACTTTGCAGTAGATTCCTCTTTCCTTTAAAGAAACACAAAAACAAAACAGAAAACCCCCCCTCCCCCCGGTTTCTTTCTTGGAATGGCTGCACCTCTTATAATAAGATGGCTTCATTTTTGTGATCTATGAAAGGAAAAGGAAATAAAGTGCTTCTTGAGAATAAATCAAAATAAATATACATATTTAATGGCAGGAAAAAAAGAGTTCTGAAGGGCTAACTCCAGCCAGGTCTTTTCTCAGATGAGTCTTTTCCCCCATAACTTTTTCAAGAGCAATCTGCACAACAGTTGAAGATGCCAGAAGTTGCTTTAGCAGCAGAGTTGAATTCCCCTAAGTCTGTGTCTGCTCCATCACTGGTTTGTAAAATCTGTGCAAAACACCTTGCCCAAAGTGCTGCTCCTCCTGCACAACAGCATCAAATAAAATACAAAAAAGAAAGAGAAGAAAAAATAAACCCAACCAAAAAAAAAGAAGGAAAAAAATCCACCCAGTTACATTGACTTCATCCCGTTGGCAGTGGTGTTCTCCGAGATCCCATCGCTCACAGCTGCCGAGTCGTGGAGGCCGGAGTAATCCTTGAGTTCAGAGTTTGTCAGGAGCAGGGGCTGCTCCCCCTTCTTGTGCGGCAGGAGGGGCTGCCGGGTGTAATGTTCCCCATCTGGGATGTTCTCCGGCAGGTTCTGGTTCTTGCTCTCTGGCAGCAGCAGGATACAGATGATGCAGATGAGCGTACAGCAGGCAAAGATGACATGGTGGAGGAAGTAGCCTTTCTGGTTGTGGAGTTCCATGATGGGGGCAGTCAGGCGGCCAAAGCCCGCGCTGGCCAGGACAAGCCCCAGTCCTCCTCCCCTGCAAATACATCAAGAGGTGAGAGCCCGGCCTCACAGCCCTGACAGGTTCCCCTGACTAACCCTCTGCCTGGCATGCACCCAGGCATCCGAAATCTCTAAGGCAAACCTGGTTTGCTCACAGCTTTCATACTGTGCAGTTACTCTAGTAGGGAATTGCTTTGCTGTTGTAGATCATTGCTGCCTATTTGTCTCAGCGTGGGGAAATAGCTATACTCAAATATCTTTCCACAGCCTAACTGCCTCCACAGAAAGAGGAGAGGAGCTTTAATCACATGAGTGTCTAGACAACCCTCTAAAGTATTCCCGTTTCCAAGTATCCCCATATTCAGTGAGAGAAAATCAGCTTTTTGCTCAGCATGCCATCCTTCTCCAGCTTAGACACCAAGAAGCAGTAGGTGCAGAAGTCAGTTCTGGCTGCCTCTAAAGTATCTGTCATCAATCAGCAGAGGCAAGAGATTAGACTTTACAAGCCACTGCCTTGATCCATTATACTAAACACTGAGTGCTGAAATATTTTATCCATAAAAACATGTCATGCCTGGAACCTCTCAACACACTGATGTTGTAATAAAATGTATAATTTTCATGAAAAAAAAACCAAAACCACAAAACATAGCTAGTGGTCAGAACAGGAGAACAAGAGTTTGGGATTAATTTCCGAGACCTCCTCTTAATTCACTGTGCAAGTTGAGGTAGGTCCCTCACTTCACTCTTTCTTGCTCTTCTAGTGTATTCTTGCATCACAGAAAGCTTGTGAAAAGGTTAGCACTGGTAAAACACTAAAGTTAAAAGTAGGTAACTTTATAAAATAGTCTTTATGGCAGAAATGCTTAGTTATTAAATAGAATGTGCTTGTGTACTGAAATCATACATACATGCACACCAAAACCCAGTGAAAACATACTGAAGCCTAAAAAAATGGGGGGTGTGAAAATAACCTCATCGTCCTCCAGTCACAAACATGGAAGTCACTTGTGCAAGCCAAATTCAGTGCTCTCTCCTGATGCTCAGCTATGCAAGCAACCTCTCTTGCAATTCCTCGTCTTGCTCATCAACGTCTCTCCAGGTCCTGGAACAGGCAGGCCTGGCACACCTCTGGCCATATGCCCACCTCATTTTGAGGCACAGTTCACTCTCCTGGGGTCCATCCCTGCTAGGTTACCCCACACAGAAGCAGCACCACAGGCGTTTATCTGGAGCAGATCATTCCCTCCTCCTGCCACAGCACAACAGAGGTCTCTGGTCAGCAGAGTGTCACTCTCAAGTGACTTTGTTTTAGCAAAATCTCAAGTGACAGCTTGTCCTTTGTTTTGCAAAGGCCCTGCTGCCTGCAGAGGGAGGTCTCTTCGCAAGCTTAGTTGCTGGCACCCTGCTCCCCACTCCACCACCAAGCTCGCCCAGGCAGCACGCTTCCCATAGCTCCTCTGGGAGCTGCAATCTATTCCCAAATCCTCTGAGGATCAGATGGGCCTGATCAGCTGCTTCAGTTCATGGCCCAATAGCAGAGATGTCTTACAGAAGACAACTGCAGAAGGCAAATGAATTATTTATATCAGCTATTTGGGAAGAAAACTTTCATTCACTACCGAGTGTACTAGAAATCACAGCACTATAAACCTACAAGCACCAAATTCACTCAGCCATCCACTGTGTTAAAGCTAATCTTCACCCAATCCTTTCCAAAATCCACTGCTGCTTACTTGACAGCTAAAGGGCAGCAAGCACAGGTTTCAAAAGATGCTCCTGGGACACTGACTGGATCAAAAATTCATGTATGTATCTTCTGATTCTCCAGACTTGGCAGAGCATCTTTCACAGACAACCAATTTTCCCCAATACTGCAAAAGCCTTTATTAAAAACTTGCCAACTTCTGATGGCAATTTAGAAACCCAGCTGAATGTGGCCATTGTGCAACTGGCCTCCCTGCAACTTCATTAATACACTCACATGAGTAATCGACACAACCAGCCCCGAATGCATGGCAAATCACTATCCAAGCTGGCTGCAGAGCAACAAAAGCCCGCTCATTTACATCAGTGTTTGCTATGGCTAAATTGTATCTCAACCCCTGAGAAGAACCTGAGGTGAGTTTTAAAAGCCACTGTAGAAGAACATCGAGCAAGCTGAAAGGAAACAGGAAAAGGCAACAACAAAGACAGCTCTGTCATACGGGTCAAGTGGCTTCAGATTTGGAGGGGAAAAAAAAAGTTTTTCCATATGACGTCAGTAATTAGAGCAGGCGTTACTTTGTCCAGCTCCATCAAAACCTGGCAGAAGGCAGCTAGAAAATACATTTTGGTATGTGTCCTAGAAGATTTTGTTTAAATGTTTGACTATATTGCAAATATTAAAACAGAGAAAAAGCACTCCAGACTGAAAATACTGTCAGGAATTTTTTGTTGTTCACATGCCCATCAGGAAAACAGGTACAGGATAAGAGAAGCAGCATCCTCATAATTCACACTGGTTTTGCAGGTGCCATGGGGCAGCAGATGGAAACCAAAAACATTCAGGGTGTTTTGGGGCACTGCTTCTCCTCAGTATGAGGTTTCCCAGTGCAGGGGCCCAGTGTCTGTATTTCAAAGGTGCTCCGAGGTACAGAGCAGAGCCAAGGGAGGGAGCTACTGGCACCCATGGTGAGCCTCAGCTTCTCCCCTTGCAATTCTGCCTGGCAGCAACTGCTGTGGGGGCTTTCCCATGGCATGGCCTCACGAGTGATCAGAGCCACTTCCCTGACCCCTGCTCGCACAGCAGCAGCAAGGCAGGATGATTTGCATGAGGCTTATAGTCTGACATGGGCAAATCACAAAGGGACATTGGTTCAAAATTTTGTCCTCCGAAAGGGCTTCCGTGTTCACAGAGGAGAATTTCCTTGCTCACTACTGCAGTGTTCTTTTGGAGACCAGCAAAACATTCTTGCTGATATTCTTTGCTTGAACCAGGCTAAACATCAGTAAGGGAACTTGCCCTTCACAGTGCTGCTCAGGGGAGCAGAGAAACGTTAATCCCATTTTTGGATGGCCATTTGTCGGTGTGAGCAAACAGGTCGATATGTGGCTTGGCTTGGAGTACAGAAGAGCCAGAGAGATATTCAGGCTGAAGGGGACTTTGGGAGAGCACCTATTCCAGCCTCCTGTACAACGTGGGACCAATGCTGAATTCAGATCAGATTTTTAGGGCTTTGTCCAGTCAGCTCAGCCACTTTTTAAAGTCACCTTTTAAGTCATACCTCCATGGGTTTTCCCTGCCTTTCCTGCATATAAGTGACACTGTTGTGTGCTCAGTCCCAGGCCAGAGCTTCAGTAACACACCAGGACGCCCTTGGCCTCATAAGGCAAGGCACCACCTTTGGAAATCCATGCCTAGTTCAGGTCCCACTGAACAGCACTGTATCCCACGGGAAATCTGGCTTGAGGCAGCTATTGAGGGGTGAAGCTGGCCATTGCTGCCTACTCTTTATTTCTTTGGCCAGATGGGTGCAAAAGCAAGACACAGAGAGAAAACCAGATCTCTCTTCCACTTGGTAGTAACTGAGCATGCAAAGGATGGGGAGGGGACGTACCTCAGCCTACTCCTGTTTAGTAGCTGTGCAGACTACAGTGGTGTTCCCATCAAGATTACTAGAGATGGATTATTGGTACCACTCTGTGCTTCAATTCAGCATTTGGAAGGACCTCTGTACCAAAGCCCCCTCTACAAGGAACAGGAGCTCCTGGTGAAGGCCTCCTGCCCAGTGCCTGGAGACAGGGGTGCAGTGTAAGAGTATGAAGGACCCCTCTGTGCCACATGACAGTGTGGGACCTTTGTGTTTCTGGAGCAGGCAGCACCTCTTGGCGATGAGCACCTCTTTCCTCCTACACTGCTGCAACCATTTATCTCAACAGCACAGCAGTCGAGCTGGACAGGCTCTATGGATTTGCTATCATGCCACTGCTACCACAATAACAGCGGTGCTGTTTTCCTCCCTCAGGGATGGGGGATTACAGGTAAAGAATTTGATCAGGCCCCAATGCTCTCTCTGCCTCCTTTCACTTAAGGTTCCTTGAGAATCAACCAAAAGCATATTAAGATGGTCTGAAATGCTAAAGGGCATCTGAGGCAATAATCTGGAGAACAGGTTATGAGGGAGCAGCCAAATCCCACCAAAATGCAAGACACAAGGCAGCTTTAACCACACCTCTGCCTGAGATGGGTTTATGCATTGCCCTGAGCAACACCTCCTAATTACAGCCCTGAGTGGGTTTTATCAAGAGCTTCATGGTGGTAGGACAACAATGCGGTGCAGTGTCATCATCCCTTTAATAAATGGGGCCCCTGAGGCATACCCAGCTATTGTCACTTGCTTGGTGTCACCCAACAGTGTCAGGGGAACCAAAATTTTGGCTCTCAGCCAGGATTTTGTCCCCTTCCCTGTAGCAACGCAAGTGATTTAAGGAAAAAAGCTTGCGAAGTTCACACTGTGCATGTGACCCCGCTTGGCAGATTCTCTTCTGGCTGACATGGCCAATTCCTTATCTATATGTCTTTCAAACAGAGACAAGGAGAAAATTAAAGAGGCATAAAAACACCAGACTGACTGACATGCATATAAGTAAATGGCTGTTAGTGTTTCAGACTGCTGTATAATCTTCTCACTACTCACACTGCCTTTCCCTGTGGAAATAATGTTATCTGTGAAATACTTTCACAAAGTCAGATAGCTTGGAAGAAAAGGCCACGGATCAGGGAGACTCTGGCTACTCAGCTGACAGTTTTGCTATAATACTTTTGCAAATTTATTGAAAAGGCATATAATTTGGAGAAAAAAAAAAAGCAAAACAAAAAAAAAAAAAGCAAGCATCCTCTTCCTTTCACTCTCCTTCCCTCCCACCCATATGACCTACATTTCTGGCAAATTCAATGGAATCAGGGTGGGCTTCTGAATTGCTGTGGCATTGCTGAAAGCATAATCCAGAACACAAAAGCACAACCTTTGTGCTGTGGAAGATAACAGTGAATAGTTAAAATGGTACGAAAACCTGACGATACAAAGACATTTTATGGGAAGCTCTCCAGTGAAGATCATCTGCCTGATTTTTGCTACTGCCTAGGATGAAAGTGCTCCTCTTTAGGAAAACTGAGCCTCTACTAAAATATACCTGGGTGCAGAAAGAAAGATGACTTTATCTGCACTAAAGGCATACCACTCACACTGGTGCTGCTGTAGGAGAGGCAGACTTGCAGAGCACCTAGTAACAGAAGCAGTAACACCGTTCAGCTGCATGATCTGGTTCAGCTAAGCATTTAAGACAGTACCTCACTGCAAACAAATGCAATGCATGTGATGCCTGGCCTGCTGATAATCACCACGATGGGACGCAAGGTGGAGCCACTGGAAACAAAGCCTCTCTGTCTGCAGACAACCACTTGGGCAGACTGACTGCAACGACATTAAAGAGCGCCCCCCAAAATTGCTGCGAAGTCTCCAGTTATGGGGGACTTTCCTTCCTATACATTGTGTTAAGTTACACAGCCAGTTATCAACGAAATGAGGAACATTTCATCCCTGTTCTTTGAAGATGGGGGGGCCTCCAATGTCTCACCTGATTACTGTGGGTGTGATTTCAGCACAGAAGAACACGCTGAGGCTTCCAACGGCATGCGAAGAAAACATACCCACGATGGAAAATGCGGTAGAGAATTTGTCTTTGACGCTGTCACTCATACCTGCCAAGACAAGTGTGTTCACAAGCAATGAGAATCAGGCCAAACTTCCAAGGAAGAAAACAAGAAAACAGTTTTACGTTACTCATTCTCCCTAGACAAGAGTTTGAGTCATTTTTGTAATACTAATTTAAAACTGGTATTTATAAAATCCATTCCCCAAGCACACGAGACACAAATATACCTGAAAAAAATCATAATGTCCTGCCAAAAATGGCATGGATCTCTGAATTATTTATGCTCAGCCACCACAAAAAGGTAAAACCCAAGAAAAAAATATATCTTTGGGCAGTCTTGTAGGCACCAGCCACTTCCCTCCTATATTTGACAGACAAGTGGAGGCAGGCAGTGTTCATCAACCTGCCAAACATCTGGTACAGCTCAGTGGCTTAGGCACTGGAGAGGCTCACAGGACAAGAGGGGAAAGAAATAAAAGTGCTCCCATCTCCGAGCACATGATTAGTCTGCAAACTGTGTCATAACCCCCAGCTTGACAGCCTTCGCCTGACAACTCTGGGTGAGAGAAGCCGATGCCAAGACAGTGAAGCATTCCCCTAAGTCACTGTGTCCAGCAAGGCTGTTTGTTCAATCATTTCATGGCTGGATGGCAGCAAGGGAGCAAACAGTGTCTGACAAGCACAGGAAAAAATCTCAGTAAGTCTAAACAAATCTAAAGGAAACTGTCTCCCAGCCATGATGACAATACATCTCTCACTTGATCCCCACCCGGCACCTTCTGTGGGCAGTGGTGGGATATCTGATCCAGGGTTGTACAATCTCATGTTGTCCATCCTGTCCAGCAAGGAGACCAAGTTGTTTGCAGAGACTATTGCACCATGTGAGGGGAACATATGCCTAATGGGAGTGCTGGGGAAAGGAGTGGAGCTTTACAGCCAATGCTCCTCACTTGCTTCCAGCCAAGTCCAAAGATCTGCCTGGAGAAAGGGCTGCTCATCAGTGTGCAGTCCCAAGCAGGTGTGTTCTCTGGGTTGGATTCAATGAGAAGCAACACCTGCTTTTGTTCTTGCTGAATATATCAGCTCACAGGAGAGCAAAAGGTATTTGGGAACTCTTAGGTTACAACTTCTGAAATGTGCTACAGCCTGCTTGGGGCTAAGACCTAACTGCAGTTCACCCCAGGTCTGAGGGAGAGAGCAAATACTGCCAGCAGGTAAGGACCTGAGCATGGCACCTTGCAAACTACAGGTCTCTGAAGCACCCTGGTAAATCCTGCATAGCAGGTGAGGCTGTACCACTGACCCCACAGTGAGTCACGACTGCTCAACAGAACAGACCTTGGAAACGCTGGGCAAGGACGGGTCTGTTAAATCAAATACAGAAGGGTAAATTTTGTTCCCTTGTAGCCTGTCACTGCACTGTTACTATAGAACTTCAGGCTGGGATAAGGTTCCTGGGGAAGTATTTTCTAATGTGCCTAAGTCCCCTTATCAGAAGGGACTTCGGCATCTCAGGTCTTTCTGGAAAAGACCGAACTGGGAAAGTTGCTTCTGAGAAGGAGACTTTCTGAGAAAGTCTTGCCCCATATCTAAAAATAAACCTTAAGGGGAACCTCTGCACCCTCTCTTGACATACAGAGGCAAGTTAGACTATGCAGAGGGGATGCTATACCAAGAGACTGCATACAAACAAACAGGCCTGCCTATGAGCAGGGTCCCAAGGGACTGTGTAGAAGTGGGCTTTCCGCCAGCACCCCTCTGCAGCAGCAGCTCCACTCTGGGTGCTTTGGCTCCAGCCTTTCAGATCCAACAGCTCCCGGGCAAGCGCTTCCTGCATGAAGCAGATCATCTGTAAACCATACCTGAGTCTGGAAGTTGACTGTATTTTCCAATCACTGGATCCGTGACCACAGAAGTTAGAATAAGATAAAAATAAGAGAGAAAGGGAGAGAAAACAAGAACATACTGTTGTTACATATTTATTTATCCAAAGGAAAAAGAAAAATAAATGTAAATCCCACATGCCACCCTAGCCCCCCTCATACACTTGTTTCCCATGTCATGACTGGCATATCCTCCTGTGACCAGATAGGACACGCTGTTTCCAGGCCCCTTTCAGCTGGAGGACAGCATGCTAATGAGACAGAGATAACAAATGCAGCAGTAAAGCATTTTTAAGAGCCCCAGAATTACCACTGGGATTAACACAAAGGCCTCTTTGTTGTTAACAAAGGGGGAGAAGAAAAACTGCTCTCAAGCTGCAGCCCCGAGGGAATGCCCAACAGAGGCTTTAGTTAGAGCAAAAGTCTGGGCATCAGCACCATCATACTGGTGGGAGACCTATTCCTTGACAAAACTCTGGGCTGGTGGTCCATGTGTCACGCTAGCCACCAGCTGCCATACGTCCTAACTGCAAAGGAGCACACAGCAGTACTGGGCAGCAAGGAGAAGGGCAGTGACACGAGCTGGACACAGCTCTGCTGGTGATCTCCCACCAGGCTTCTGCAACATCCCAGGCAACACCCCAAGGTCTGGAGGAAGGGCTGAATACGGCAAGCCTCAAGGTCTGCCGTGGGTTTCCTGCTGATGGAGACTACCCTTCTCCCTCTCTCACCCTCCTTCTCAAATTCTGATTTCGTTTGCTAATTACACTCAAGCTAATTACACTTTGCTAAGCTAAAACATGCAGGAGGCTGTAACAGATTTCATAATCAGCGGTGTCACTGCTTCTCTCCAAATACTGTCTAGCTCTTTTGAGGAAGAAGGGGGGCATGGTCTAGAGCAGGGGGAGACAAGCTGCTCTGAAGTTCAAGGCTGCCCTCTTCTCACAAAGAAAGGGGCGAGGGCAGAGTGGGGAAGGCTGACGAGCACACAGCATTGAGAGAAGTCTAGGTGTCAACACATCGGAAAGCACCTAGAGCCCACAGCTGCTCTTAGTTTTAGCAACTTCGCTCACAAAACCACCTAAACCCATTGTGGATGAGGTTGTAATGATTGCTAGAGGGTGTTCCTCCCCACTTCCCCTCACCCGTTTGTTGTTGAAAAAGTGCAACCAGATTTTCACAGCTCTGGAGCAGACTTTCATGGTTCTGGCATATTTTCTGTCCACTAAGCAACTGCACATTTATTACCTCAGTAGTCTTGACAAATATCTAATGTCCTTAAAAAAAACCCCAACAAACAAAACCCAGACAAATCTAGCATAGAGAGACCCTGATAGACACCACACAAGAATGTGGAGTTTTGAGATATTGCACACACAGAGCGTGCACCCGCATGTCAATAGTCACATCTATCAATGGGCTGGGGATGAGACAGGGCCGGGGGGCTTCTCCTACTTTCAGCTGGGACAGCTGAACGTGGTAAATGTGTGCTCAGAGGGAACATAAACATCTGTGCCAGGCTGGGAGCAAGCGCACACAATATTGGAGTTTCCTCCATGTCATGAAAGAGGTTCCCTGTTTCCCTTTTATACTCCCACAACTAGCACGTTCACTAAAGGTTAACTTATTAAACACTTTCAGGAAACACAGACTGTAAATACGGACAGCTCTTGCTAGATTGGGGTTGCTTTCAGCATGCAGGAATGTGAAATCTTTCCATCCCCAATGCAGAAAACTCCTTCTCATTAAAGCTCTTAATTATTTCTAAACTTAGAAATGAAAAACAGCAACAACCAGTGTTCTGGTGTTCATTTCACCAGTTTGTCCAAAGCACGTCTCAACCCTCTTACTCCTTCCTTGGGGTGAGGTTTCTCAGGACAGGGGTCTAATGATTGGCAACTGTTAGATTGCTAAAGCACATCCCACCTTCTCTCTGCTTTAACACCTCTCTGATCCATCACATAATCTTCTATTGGTGAGGAAGTTGTAAGACAAGGAAATAAAATTAAAAAAGGGAGTATTTCTGTAGCAATTTTAATAGCTGAAGCAGCTCAAAAGGGCCAGAGAAAGGTCACTGCCTGCAAAGGAAGAGGTGGGATGCTCTTGCTTTTGGCAGGAACAACCCATTTGAAAAGCTGTGTCACCTCACAAAATCCTGTATATTTGTTCACACTGACTATATATACACACCACATTACGAGCAGGGTTTCTCAGCTGCATATTTCCATGCTAGCTGTATATTACTCACACGTAGCAAGATGCTCGGAGCAGGCAGAGGACATACACCTATTCCTTTAACTCCTGCTTGTTTAGAGGCTATTCAAGAAGCAGACAAGTGGGAGAGTTTCCCCTTCACAAACCCTACCCAACTCTTTCCCCAGAGTGAATTATACTGAAATAAAAGTATTTTGTTTGTTTCTTCTTAAGTGACAGCCCTAGAAGCAGCCACAATGCTCAACGAGTTTCACCACAGAGACTCATCCAGAACATAATGCCTTTTGTTAATGAACCTAAGACAAGTGTTTGGGGAATCCTTCAAACAAATTCAACTTCTTAAACTAAGCAGGTGTACAGCATGTCAAATCTGAGAAAGGCAAAAGAAATGCTAATATGTCCTGATCCCGTATTTGCATGTCAACCTTGCGTGGTCCTGAAAAGCTCTCGTCTCCAACTTACAGTTGAGAAGGCCCAGCTGTAGAAGGGATGCCAGAGCTGTAAGGATCATGAAAAGCAGGAGTCCTCCTCTCCTCCCCAGAAACCCGACCACCGGACACATGGCCAGGCAGGATGCCAGCGCAATACCAGCCATGGTATAGTAGTCTGCATAGAAGTTGTGGGTAATCGCCATCTTCGCTTCATGCCCCATCATGCTTTTCGCAAAACAGTGGTGTATGCCGTAACCAGTCAGCCTAGGGGAAACAGGAGAGGGCAAGGGGAGGTCACTGCTGAGAAGGCAGCCACACACTGCAACATAATTTAACGTAGAAACACATCAATGCAAGAAGAATTTCTTCTACTGAAGGAATACAACAGCTGGTGCAAAAAGACTCAGACTTCTAGGTGCTACTGTAAAAATAAGCAATGATCCAAAGAAACAAAAAGAAAACCCTCTATTCCAGCAGACATTTGCAATCTACTGGCTTCACCTGCTGCTCAAGATCAGGGTACAAGCAACTTTATAAGGACTCCTAGCACATGACTGATTTTCCCCAACATATTTCAGAACTTCCCTATCTCGAGAAGGACATGTTTCCCTTCCCCATGCATCTGCTGATGGCCAGTCAGTGCTGCTGTGAAGCGGCAGCCTGTGTGCTTGGACAGCAAAAACCATGCAGTACAGGAATACCTGCCTGCCTGTAGTGTTTGGTTGTACTAAAGATTTCACCTCAATTCCCAAGCTAGCCTGTTACAGCTGAAAACCCCTTAGAAATGATTATTTGAAGTCACATGTGCTGCAACAATTATGAAACAGTAAGTCCTAATTCAATCTACAGATTTACACCGCCCTCCGTATCAATGTGTCCTCCCTTTTAAAAGTTTCTTCATGATGCCAGTGATCTTGCCACTCCGTTTCATTCCCCATTCTCCTGTGTCCCCCTGTTCCCCCCCCAAAAAAAAGAAGGAGAGTAGGGGGCTGGAGGTACAGAAGTCAGATGAGAAGCCCCAGCATCACCCCTGATGTGGTGCAAAACTGCAGCAGAGCTGCTAAGGGAAGTCATTGCTCTCAACTGCTCCCATCACAGCTCAAACACTTCTGCCAGTAAGAGTCTCCTGGCCCTGGCATTTAGATCAGACAGACCTCATGTCACAAATTAACTGCCTGGCAGAGCATCGGGCATGGATCCAGGTCTCCAAAAAATGAATGGCAGGTACATTACAGTGATACACCTCTATTCTCCTGAACGTCAGGAATTTGAAGTGCTGTCAGTGTAAACTGGATATTAAGCATAGAAACAGGTGGGAGAATACATAGTCACTGAGACCATGACAGTCCAAGGCCTGGGGAATTTCTCTTGCAATCTTGTGATTCAATGCTATAGTTCAAAAATACACCCCTAATAATACACACCCTCCCCTCTTAAAAAAACACCCCAGCACAAGTACTTACTGTCATAGAAGAATGTAATTTGCTTTGGATATCTAGATTATAATGGGGTCCTCCCATAAGTGAAATATTAATTAGCAAACAAATATTTAATAAGAGGGCAGAGTTAAACAGTTTGTACCTTCTTTCTCTTGTGCACGCAAACACACTTGAAGTTGTTATTTATGCCATGAACTATAAACTAAATTAATCTATCATCTGCACTCTGCTTTCCAGCCTGCTTCCCCAGGAACTACTCTATTATCTTAACTTGCTGAACAGCTCAGAACAGTTGCTTTTAAAACTAAACACATTTATTTCCTTTGATGTCTTGTAATTCTCTGCAAAAGGTTTCTTCTCCATGTTCCACAGTACAAAAAAATTTAGCACAGCTTCACCTAACAGGAATAACAGAATTAAAACTCTATAGTTTTTTTTTCCACCACCCCCTAAAAACAAACATGAAAGCTATTTTCTCAAACACACATCTGCTTCATGTGCTACTTGGATGGCAAACAGCCTCCATGTGCTATTGCCAGAAGTCACTCTTTGGGCTGCCTAGTTCTGGATTAGGGAATTTCTAAATGTATGTAATTATAAAGGACGAGGGAGAAGGGCTGAATTCCCCACATAAACATTTTTCACAAATACAGATAACACTGGCTATTAAATCCAGCAGCTCAGCCTAAGAGGAAAACGATGTTTCAGAATAGAGGGAATCAACCACTGATAGGTGGGAGAGACACACAAAAATCATAAAACCAGAGTTGGTTCTGCAGCTGATAATGCTGAAGAGTGACCCCTGAAGTGCATGTGCAGGACTACCTGCCCAGAACAGGGGCTGTCCTCTCTGGGTTAGGACTGACCCATGAGCCTGCTTAAAAGGAGTGAAGGTTGCAGAGTAGAGCCCTGAAGTGATGAAGAAAAAGCTGCAAGAGCGCTCTGTACTTCTAAACAGAGCAGAGGATGGGGGATTTCCAGTCTTCTCCCCACCCCCAAAAAAAAAAAAAAAAAAAAAAAAGAAAAGAAAAAAAAAGAAAGGAATTCAAATGGGCATTTTAGAAGATTGAAAAATTAGAAGATCCACTGCCGCTGCCCTCCCAGAAGTTGCTTGGTTAAAGGCTAAATTAGCAGCCTCTCTTTCCTCTTTACAAGGTGCTCAGTTCTGGACAGGAGGTCTCAGAGCCTGGTAACCTGGGAAACCCTCAGGCAGATGCCTGGTTTTGTCCACATAAGCACATCACATTGCTCTGTGAGAGACCACACATTCTCCCTGTGTGCCCCATACACGATCTGGGAGAGCTGAAGCACTTTGTAATCTGCTTTTGAAGACCTATCAAGGACAGTTGTTATACAGGGGAGCAGGCTTGTATTTACTGGCAAGCAACATCTTTCTCTGCAACACAGCTATATTAGATGTCAACTACTTGAACTTGCACTCCTGTGGCATTACCGGTTTCAAAAATTCCACCAGCATGCCAGTAGCCACTGTCTGCATGCGTGAGCACGTACCAGCATGTGGCCATGCAAAACCACTGGTGATAGCCACTCACTTGCAGCACAACACCTGAGAAGACATGGTGCGGCTCCCCGAAACAGGCAATGAGTTCCTCCATGTTTGCCTTAAAAAAAAATAATTCCCTGCAACAAGCTGGTGTTTTTCCAGGATCATTTATCAGAGACACTAGTGAAGGGTCCCACACCAGGAAAACAGAGGAACTCCCTCATCATTTCCCATTACCGCTTCCAGCTCATCAACCACACAACTATTCAAACAGGAGGAGATTGGACTTACGAGTTCACACATAATACTACAATGTTTTTCCACAGGTTCCTGGTTCCCACCACTTTAACAATGCAGACTTTCTTGGGTCTTCTGGTGATCTCCTTTTCCAGCTCTGAAACAAACCAAATCAAAATTATTCTTTCAGGGGGGAGAAAGAGGAAAAGGAGATTTACTTGTTCACTTGTGAACTACAGATACTCTGAGGGATGTTCTGGAGAGAAGGACACTACTGATTTCTCTAATAGCAGCTCTAAAAATGCTAAACCACCTGCCTAAAGTCCACCTCATATTCCTCATTTTCTTCCAGGCCTCCCTTAACCTCCTTGGGGCTGAAGAACTGCCCAAGAACTCCTTTGCACCCCAAACCTCCTCCCAGTTTTAAAATATGTTCGTAGAATGAGGGTAGGATGGAGCTTGATCGCAGCAAGTGTGATATAAAATTTCCTGAAGAACATGATTCTGCTAATTTTTAAACACACCACACACCCCCCCCCAGAAGGACTGTGCTTGTGCAGTTACAAGACCTGCTGCCTTCCTGCAATGCACACCTGAGAAGTCATGGAAAGGACTGGAGCTCACTCTCTTTTGTGGGAATCTTTTGAGGTTTGTTCAAATCCAGGTTTCAGAAAGAAGTTGCTAGGACACTATGTCAGCTCATCCTCTTCCACCTTCCTCCCCATTTCAAATGTTTAAAATTGTTCTGATGGATGTCCTAAACAGAAAACATTTCCTTAAAGAAAAATCCTTGGCCATCATCAGCTGTGATGTCTTTGTGTTTCAGAACTAAAACCTCACTATGTCCTTAAAGCCCTGGGCAGCTCCAACGTAACTTTTATTTGCAATGCTATAGCAACACACAAGCCTAGCAAATATTGCATCTGATATTCTTGTCTGCACGGGACAAAAATAAAGGACACTGCTTACTTCCCAAATATCATCAGGTTCGAGCTTGAACACCTACCTAAGCATGCCAACAAAACCACTGTTTCCAAGCTACTGTATCAGAGAGACAGCTGCAAGGGTGTACAGCCTGTTAAAAATGGAAGAAGCTGTAGCTATATAGAAGCATCACAAAGATGATGCCTTCCAAGAGTACAGACTAGGACTGTTTTTTTAGGGCAAAGACTTGTGCTGCTTCTGTCTAGTCTAAGTGTGTTTAAAGGCGGCAGTGTAGCTCTGTTCTGAACCGTGCATGTGTTCCCTTCGTGCATACGCAAGTAGTCCGGGTGTCCTCAGTCGTCCTCACTGGCCTGCTCCGACCTCTGCCTAACTCCACTGAATAGCAATCTCTTAGAAAGATGCAAGACAGGAAAAAAATAAAAGCAAGGCGGGGGGGGGGGAGAGATAAATCACCCGAATTTACAAAGAAAACAAAAGACACTTTTGTCTGCTGTTATTTGAAAATTGTATCATAAAAATAATAAATCAAAAGAAACACTATGCAAATTTATATGCAAATAGTCGAGCTATTCACTACTCACGGTCACTCCTGATCTTCTATTTAGAGTAACTACAGGGAACACTTCTGAGAAAAGCAGCAAAGGGTATTTTACATTAATGATTGTACTTAAGCAGAATATTGCCATACTCTTTTCCTTACTACCTGATAATAGCCCTTTCTCCCCAGAATCTACACAGCACGAAGCTCAGAAAAGCATAAACACAGAGGTGGAGCAGAAGAGGAAATTGGTCAAATTAATATCTGTACTACAGGAGCACTTCACGGGCTCAGCAATGGATCAGGGCTATATTTTTTAAAAAGCACAATAAAAAAAGATGGTACCTAATCTCAAAGAGCAAGGTCAAAATGATTTTTGTAGCAAGATTCTAGAAAGGAGTCAGAACAAAATAATTCAGAACAACTGAAGCAGTTAGATAAAACACAGTTATAAAGCCTATAACTGAGCCCAAGCCAAACCTTCTACAATGAAAAACTCAAAGCAAATACTAGAAGCAGCACAAGGTTTTTAAAAGCTGTTGATGACTGTTTACTGTTTCAGCTGAAGGGCAACAATGAAAATCACCACCCAAACAACACACATTGCACAGACTTCATGCGGACATAAGGGTTCACTTGCAAACTAAGAATGACCAGATCTGGCATGTACAAGTAAAATACCTCCGTCAGCACAAGACAGTCCCTGATACCATATTCTCTGGATTTTCTTAATTTGGATTTTCATGTTTCACAGTCATTTTTACTTTTTACTTTGAGAAGAGCAAGCAGATTTTGTTGTCAATAAGTGCTTTATTGAGTCACAACTTAATAAAATTAAGAGAAGCAACACTTAACTTGGTTACACTTCCCTGCAGAGCCAAACATTATTTTGGCCTCCACTCCTGCTTTGTTCATACATTAGGGGTTGCTACAATCCGTATGTTCTTTTTTTATTGTCACGCACACTTTGCTTGTGCACTCAGGCTCCCTTTTAACCTTTCTTATAAGTTAGTCCTTCCAAACTAATTTTCATTACTGCTTTTCACTCGACTGCTGTTCTACCCTCCAGCAACGGATAGCCTGTGGGTTATGAGAACTGGCAAACACTACCTCTGCTTCAGCTGCAGTGAGGATTCTGCACGAGGGGGATTTCAGCCCTTCTCTGCCCTGCTTCATGCAGCAGTCTCCCTTCAGTAGATCCTTGCTTCTGCTCTGATAGAGGTTATACTCCATGGATACATAGCATCATTATATGAAAAAGTCCCAAAAGAGATTCCAGCTGTATTTCCTTTCCAAGGATTAAAGAAAAAAACCCACAAAACCCCAAACCATTAAAAAAAGAGAAAAAACCCTGGCCTCACACCTGACATCAAAAGAACACCAATAGCACCTGACTTTTTACTGAAAACCTTCTGACCCTACCTGATATTCAGTCTTCCATCCTTCTATGTGTTAAAACACTGAAGAGAAGTCCCTTGCTTCAGACTGACTCTCCCCAAGTCTCCAACACCATCTATCTTCCTGATTACTTTCTCCATCCTTTATTTCTATATATACACCAGCCCGATGTTCTCAGAAAAAAACCAAAACCAAAAAACACCACCCCAAAATCAGTAATTTACAATAATCAAAATATCATTCAGATAGCAACAAAAGAGTCATCATCTACAGATCTGGCTCTCACTTAAGTGGCCTGCTGTTTCTGGAGGTAACTCACTTTGCACAAAGGGACCTGCTCTGACTGACTGTGATGGGCATCAGGAGAGCGGCAGCTCTTAGGCTGTCTGGACTTCATAGGTCAATGTGAAGATCTTAAGAGAAATCAAACCAATACCTATTAAAACACCACGCAAGCAAACTACTGCTTTCTCAGTTACTGGAATAACACCAGGAAAAATCCCCCTACCCTCAACCTATTCTTTGATTTTGCACTGAAGTCACCAGTTCAGAAGGAATTTGCATTCTGACTGATTTACCAGAAGGGCGAGTGTAGAAAATAAAAAATATTTTTATCCATTTACTCAGAGACCCATTATGAGTTTTCCCATACTCTGGAGCCCACACACACTCTAGGCTTCCTATTCAGGGACTCGGTAGGAAAACTGTCAACAAGCTAACTCTTTATATCTCAGTGGAAATTAAAACTATTCATTGGGAGACTTTAAAAGTCTCATGGGGAGGGGAACCCTACCAGCTTCCAGCTCCCAACGCTGCTGAATTCTCATGGGATCCTCTGCGTTTCAGGAGCATGGCTTTCAAAAATCAGAAAGTTTCTTTAAAGCCTTCAAATGAAGCCACCCATCTCTGCATCACTTGGCAAAGACAAAATAGACAAAGCTCAAATCAAGTTGCTGAAAAAGGATGTCCAAAATGACAAGTGTCCTGTGGTGATGGACTTCTGCTGGATTTTTCTGGCTGCTAAATGATACTGTCAGTAGCTCTTTGAACATGAAAAGAGCTATGGAAGCCCAGCAAAGAGGCTCAATCAATCCTCAGAGCACAACAGCTCTGCAGCAGGAGGTAGATCAGTCCGAAATGCAGAGCTGAAGCAACCTACTCACAGCCATACTGCGTTACTGGTAGACAGGGTTATTTATACCTTCCAGAATTTTTGCTTCCATGAACTCTCTTTGTGCCTATTTATTTTTATCATGGAGGACTAGCAGCCTGATACAGTGTATTTTTGAAAAGCTTAATAGTAAAGGAATACTGAAGGCTATCAAGTAACATACAGAAATGATGAGGTGGATAAGGAGCTGATTGATGGGCAGACAGCAATAAGGGATAGAAAAATGAAAATCATAAGAGGGCAGTAGGAGGTTAGTGTAGTGGCAGGGTGACTTGTCTTATTCTCAAAAAAAAAAAATCTTGTTTAATAACCTCACTAGGGAGCTTGGCACAAACCTTAGGAATGTGCCAACAAAGTCTGCTGGTAACAAAGTGAGGCATTGCCAGCAGTACAGCACAGCACAGCAATGGGACACTGGAGAGAAATTGGTGAGCTTGAGACCCTGTGTGGCAAAAGACAGTAAAAATGCAAAATACAAGGTAAGATACTCTGAGACTAATGGGAAATACTTCTGCTGGAGGATAAGCTTTTAGCAAATCCTGATGGACTTGGTTATACACTACTTGAACACAAGTGACTAAAAGGTACCAGTTTATTGTGTCCACGACGTAGCTGCAATTCAGACAATGAAATACTGGTGCTCTTTCACAATTCTGGTCATCAATATTTGAGAAACTAAAGCTTTGGCAAACCTGTTTATAAAAAGGGGAGATAGAGGAGAACTTCAGCTCAAAGGAACAGGGTTGCTGTCTGCTCACATAGCATGAGAAAAGAGAAAAAGAGATTTAACTTAAAGATAGTCACAGACATGAGCAAATGGGAAGGGAAAAGAGACAAACAAACTGGACAGCTATAGTGTATTTGAATTGAATGCTAAAATGTATCCCAATAAAAGAGCAATCTGGAGTCTGGAATGGCCTTCCAACAGAAGCACGGGACATAAATACTAACAGCATTTAAAATGAAGCTCATTTCATGAGAGCAACTGTATAACTCAATGACCATAATAGCAGAAGACTGATCGCAATAATTTGTTTCAATCCCGTACTAAAATCAATCAAAAAAAAGATATGATAAGTCAGACATAAGGTTGTCATTTCAATCTTCGGTTGCTCATATGCATTATGATACAGCACTTAGATGATCACACTTTACTTTTTCCCTGAGAATGCCTGCTGCAGTCAGTAAATGGGCAGCTATTAATGATATCTCTACCTTTCCCTTTCAACATGTGCCTCTCAGCCTTATTGTCCAAACCTCCCGGTGAGTAAAAAATCATAGGTTTCCTCAGAGACATTCCTACAGTGCTGTCAGAATATTCATGTACTTCATAAAAACCAGTGAAATCATCTTCACCACCTTCTTGGAAGAGTAAGGAGGAAGATTATTCCTGTTTTGCAGATAGAGAGATAAAATACAGAGGAATTGTGTCCAGAATGAAAAAAATAATGCAAAAATACCCCTTGTAGGTGCTGATATAAGTGCTCCCAGTTTTCTGCAAATCAAGCCTCAGAATTACATGCTAGAGACAGACACTGAAAAAAATTGTGATTAGTAACATCACTGAAAGAGCCTGATTCCAGGGAAATTTCCATCATCGCACAAGAACATCCCTGGCAGACACAGGGAATGCGCATAGCTCTTCAGGAGACATTCAGCTTCATTTCCCCAAGACTATCCTCTTTCCTTCTGCAACCCTCTGCCTCATTCACTACACACCTTCCAAATTCTGCAACAAATGAGGAACAGACAACAGCTTCATTCCCACAGCATCGTCCATCCTATGAACTGATTCGTCCATCCTATGCCCTGTGGAAAAAATAGGTTGTCATCATGTTATTAAAGGCTGTACCACCGTGCCTTCATGCCAGGAGGCCAAGCAAGGGTTGCCCAGGCAACCTGACTTCTTGCATTTCCCAGAGCATGACTTGTCAAGGTTTACATTCCTCTAACATTACCAACATTAAAAAAGCATACAACACAAAGAACACCTCAAATGTCATTGTCCAGAGACATATATGGGCCATCAGGAGGTTTCAAGATACCTATGCATGCATTGCTGCTGTCTACTGCCGGAGCTATGGAGGAAACCTCAGCAGGCAGAGCAGGTGAGTTGGGTGGTAGGGTGAGGTGAAGCACACGTTTTAGGCGTGGATTTCACAAGAGAAGAGTGACGAGACTGAATCCTTGGGCTCGACAGCTTGTTCTGGAGGGAAGGGGAAGCAAATGATTGCAGCGCCTTTGGGTCTCCATGCTCTAGCTCTCCTCTTTCTCTACAGCAGTTAATTCCTCCCAGTTCCCTGTTGCCTTTGCCCCTCTAAGTCCCTTCCAACTATCTTCATTCTTTGCTCCCACAACTCTTTTCACTCTCATTTCTTCTCTTTGCTGTCCACTCATCCCCTCTTGTTGCTCTTTGCCTCCGCTTACTCCCCAAGGTCTCCTCTCCTACCACTCACATCCACATCCAAACTCACCTACCCTCTCCCCTCTCGGTGCACATGGGCTGGGGGAGCACTGGCAGCACCAGGGCTTGCTGTCACCCCTCCGCACACAGTTCCTGCCCTGTAAAACTGACTCCTCCGGGAGGAGAGGCAGCACTGCAGACACAGAGCCAATGTGCCAGTCAAGCACAAAGCACCTGTGACAGGCTGGAATGAAACCAGCAAGAGCCTAGGGAGGACTCAACTGGTGTCATTCATTAAATAGAGGCTGACATCCCCCTCCTTTTTTTTTTTTTTTTTTTTTTCTTGCATATTTGGCTTTTCTCAGTGGCATCAAAAGGCACGTCCTCAGTAAAGCACTCCTTTTTACCCCTGTCCCCTCCAACCCAGCTCCTCTCAGAAGTCACTACTGCCCTCGCCTGGGATACTGTCAGGGCATGCATGGGCTCTCCTCTTCCATTCCTGTAGACCTAGCCAGCAGAAGACGACTTACACTGATCAGTTTTATTCTTCTTATTTGCTATTTATCATGTACTCCATGTCCTGAAAGAGTTGCAGAAACTCCATCAGTTTCTGCTCCTGGACAACAGGGAACCATCAGGAGAAACTCAGCCCCTCCTGAAAACTGATTTAACATACAAGAGAGCAACAGAAATCACTGGCTGGTTTTGTTTGAGATAGAAATCTCTGTGGCTTACACAGAGTCCTTTATAAGACCTGAAGTTTGCCTTCAAGTAGCCTCCTTGAACTGTTTTAACTGAATTTCCCAAATTTACCTGACTACCCCCTGGGACTTTAATGGAATATTTAAGTTTGGCACCATTTAAACCACCAGGAAACAGAATCTGGTAAAGGAACATATCCGATGGATTTGTACATAGTAGCATCACATGGAGTTACCTGTATTATGGGTCCAGGGAACTTGCTTGCTGTCTCTAGCTAATAGACCTGGCTCTTCATCTGCCACAAGCTTTAAAACTGTAGTGTAGTTGTAAGTGTGATGGTCTAAGAATATGAGTAAAGCTTTGTAGGGAGAGTTAAGCTCTTCTATTAGGGAAAGAGACTGACTGTTAGACATAAGGCTTTTTCACCCTTCCCTCTGCTATTTACCAAAAAAACAAACAAACAAAAAAAAGGCGCATCTAAGTACACAGATCCAAGCCTCAGGCTTAGGCAAAACAAAACAGGAAACTAGATTATGCATAAAAGAAAAGTCATGGCAGTGTGTTGCTCAGTAGCAATAAAGGTGAATGACATTTTTTTTTCATTAAAAGGAAAGCCCCTGAAAACCACAGCTTTCCTAACTTCAATCCACACACATATGCACACACAGTACTTGTCACCACTGTACTCCTTCCTTTCCCTGTTATGCCCTGCATGCTAAAATACTGGCGTCTATTTGGATGCTTGATCTTTGCTGTCCACTTTTGTAATTACATCAATATTATTTCTCTAAGCTTGGAAAGGAACCTTGGAAAGTAACTGCTATAAACCTGTCTGTCCACAGGAGCACTCCAATTTTCCTCTAGAGATGAGCAAAAGGAGGGTTTTGTTATTCAGCCTGCAGTTATTTTTCTGTTAAGGAATATCCAAAACGTTTCCCACCACAGGGGAAGAGAAGAACTGCACAAGGGTGGGTTTCCACGGAAGCATCAAGCTGAGAGTCAGGTAACTGCTGATAGGCTTCTCAAGCGGTGCATTTCCCAGCACACCCAAACAAGGGGCAGGGCTCGATGCTGGTGCAGCAGAGATCAGCCTGCAGCCGTCGATCTGTTTCAGCCAACAAACAGACCCTTTGCCACACATGAAGGAAAAACATGCATCTTAGCAAAATAATGCAAGCCATCTAACATGTGACACACCTTTAAAAGGTGTAAAGACGGTTGGCACTTTGAGATTCCCCAAAATTCTTAGATTTAGATACAATTCCCCTAAACACTCTTCTCTCCTGTTCTGCCAACAGATCTCCATGCTTCCTTAACATTTATTTCACTCAGGTCAAAATGACTGTCCTGCAGTTGCAAAGAAACGTATGTTTCTTGTTCTACAGATGAACAGGGTAGAGATGAAGTTTTTGGAGAAACTGGTAGTGGAAAAACCTGTATGGAATTAATATTATCAAAATATTTAATTTGCTCATGATTGAAGCTGACTTTTTTGGATAATGTTTTGAAATATTTGTCAACAAAACTCACCAAGCCTATTTTACAAATGACATTTCAATACGCAGTTGGATAACAATCATTCCCTGGATGCAAAAATGAATTTAAACTTTTATTTCTAAAAAATGGCAAAGTGTTGAGCTAATGGGTGAAATTCTGAGACTCAGAATACTAGGGAAGATTTAACCAGGTCTAATTAGCACATCTAGATTTCATCAGCATTAAAGAAGAACATACGACCACATAAAACCAGAAATCTCTTTATGAAGGCTAATTATTTGTGCGGAAAGTCACAAGGTGCACGAATCACTCAAAAATAAAGCCACTTAAAGCTGTCAGGGAGAGGGAGAGGCAGCTCTCCTTTGGTTTTGCAACCACAACAGACACTACATTACACCCCTGGGGCAGGTTAAGGAGTAGATGAGGGCAATGTTAATTTACAACACTCTGGACTCCTACCAACATCCCTTGTCTCATTTTGTTTGCCATGCAAACTCTCCTGCTGGCTGAGCATCGTCCATCAGATGCCCATGCCGATTTCCTCCAAACACGGGTTTTTACCACAGCTGCCAGATCTTTCAACTGCAGCTGGACCACTGTCCAGACATTTAGTTGTTCTCTTTAGAGACATCTCCCAGAAGAGCACTAGCAAACAACTCTCACCTATGGATTGATTCAAAAACAGGAGATAAATTTTGCTCTTTTTTTTTTTTCCCCACCCAACACATGGGCCACCTCCCTGTGGAGCAAACGGGCAAACAGAAGGTCAGTGGCACTTTCCACTATGGGCAGTGTAGCCAAATGGACCAGCAAAAGCTTTCAGCAGGCAATGGGAAGAGTGTGATCGTTCAGAAAGGAAAATAAGCCTGTTCATTGCTTGGACAGTGATTCAAAATTGCATTTTTTTTCCATCCCAGAAATATTTCACCCACTTGAACACTACTGGTTTTTTATTATGGAACTTGTATCAGCTGCCAAAATGTGTACATATGAAACTAGTGTAATTCCTGTAATGATCTGTTATATAGGATACACTAATTTGACTGCTACATACAAGTAAAATGACACTGGGTTTCCAGCTGTAAGGGACTGCAAGTGAGCAGTTTATCACTGAAATGTATGGGGAGTAATTCAATCACAGGAGGCTGTTATGACAATGCAGTGAGGAATAATAAACAGCCACACAATGGCCCCTAAGGAGAGCAAAACAGTTTCCAGCCCTTTCAGATGGAAAACAAAGAATAAAACAAATCACAAACAAAAACCCCTCCACACAGATAGGAAAGCTCAACAATGGACTCAAGGGGAAATAGGGGATATCTGCATCAGGCTCAATGGCATCCTTTCTCCCAGACAAGTACCAGCTTTTTACCCATTCCCTGCTACAGCAACTATGGGTATGTGATAACACACAAAAGCAGAGAAATGCTTTCTTCTGTTTACCGACCCACTGGGAGACACATGGCCCACAGTTTGATCACATTCTTAATTCTGGACTTCTACTTTTCTCCTGTCCTCACTCAGTCCATCAACACTCCCATGCACCCAGAATGAGAGAGAAAGTCCTTCCTTCCAAAATTTTTAGTTAAGCTCATTTTATTTTATTTTAATACTACACCTCTCTTGCTCTCCCTACAGAATTGCAGCATCCCTCTAGAGCTGGGTCAGAAAAGTCTTAGTGTGTGGGGCTGCAGAGAGAGTTTAAAGAAAAAAAGCAAAGGAAGACATAATAAAAAGCACCAACAATATCCCCAGCAGATCCAGCATCAACAAAGAGGCAGATATGACCATATTCTCTTAAACTGAAAGTTTGCAAAGGCTAACGTACTGACAAATGCTATATCGAAATGTATTTGCAGGCAGAGAATCCATAGCATCAAGATGTGTAATAGTGCTCTGTTTTTCACATGAAAGGGAGTCTCTCCTTAAACAGGAGTGTACCCCTACCACGAAGCTGGTAGAAAAAAGTAATCAGTCATGAATAATAGTCATAAAACCATTTTGATACTTAGCATTCCTGCAAGGACAATATCATTACATATGGCTTAAATCCCTCTAGCATACAGTTGCATCTTTATAATTTTTCTTTAAAAACCTCAGATAATTTATGTTTTCTTTCCCCTAGAATGTATTTTCTTTCATCTGCAAATTCAAGAAGCTGACTAGCTGAGAAAAGCCAAATTTAGAGTTGGTTGAGAAATTCCAAGTCCAATTGTGAGACATTTCATTGCCTCAGAAATAGATTTTCTCCATATCCGTCATTTACTCTGCAGAAGATCTGCAAAAAGGAGGTGGGGGTGATGGACATCACTGGGTTAACGGCTCCTCACAGACCCTTATGCTTTTCAGAACTCTACCAGAAAAATGTCACTTACATTGCAAAGCCATGTTGTGTGCAATACAGATCCAGGAACTGTAATCCCAGACACACAGTTAGGTGCAAACAAGCTAATTAACACCAGTCTGCCAGCTGCAGCAGAAATCACAGCAGTGACCTGGGTATGAATACCACAGGACCAAATTGGACTTTTTTTTACTCCTCACTGATGAAGACTCCTTAATATGTTAGACACTGATGTTAACGGTGACATTTTTCTATTCTGGATTAAGTCTGATCCAGTGCTGACTTATGCCTTTATCACTGACTGATGATACAGTTACCCCAGAGACTTCTGGCAGAGAGTATTGGCCAAACGCAGGGAGCATCACCCCTACCAATGGGCAGAGCTACTGGGTGAAGTCTCCCTGCAGCCCCAGGGGTCAGAGAAGGTAGCATCTGAAAAAGTAGGGAAAAAAAAGAAAAGAAATCCAAAACATTTCCAGTGTTTTCTGACTAGTGGGTAGTCTGATACAGATTGCAAGTGGCAGTGTAAAATGGGTGTTTATGGGCACTGTCAGGCCTGTGAGAGGGAAGAGGGGAGCCTGAACCAAATCTGACAGGTGCACCGGTGAGTTGAAGATCCAGAAACTCTTCACCTTTGTTTTAATTACAGCTACACACAGAGTCTCCTGCAAAGCACCCTGCAAGAGACGAGCATGGCTGTTTTGGTGACAAGAGGAGTCAACTCTTTCAGTAAACCATGGAATTGATCATTTAGACTCTCAACCAAAAACTGCACCCTACTGCTGCCACTTGCAGGCTACCCCCATCCCCAGAGCAGCATCACTCAGATGATGCAGGAGATGAAAGCAAACCAGCAATGCTTTAAAGAGAAACTGTAATGTGGTTTAGGTCTGCCATGGGTCTGGCTCTTCAGATCTGGGGGTGCCACTTCTCCAGCCAACAAAATAAGTGTTGCACAATGGGCAGGAACCCAGAGAGCAGCTTCCTTAAAACAGAGTCTCCAGAAGCACACAGGGCTGAAGGTGCACTCTGTAGCCATGGCAAAATTTTTCAAGAGATGTCTCTAAAGACATATGGCACTGCAAGATGAGACTATAATTACTAGGACTGTTCAACAGGCCAAGTAATTTTTAACACAGTGCTGGAATTTAGAATGGGTTTTCAAGAAAAGCAAAATGAATGAATGAATTGGATGATTTTACAGGCAGCAAATAGATTATTTAATTCTGAGCAGCAATGCCACATGCAGCCTTTAGAGAAGGCTGTCTGCCTGTCCTACTCACCAGGTACCACTCCTTTGATGTCGCTTTCCGTGTTCATCCTGTTCTTGTGCGTGAACTGAAGGATCAGTTCCTTGGATGCCTCAAACTGTTGTGTAGCCATCAGCCACCGAAGGGACTCTGGGAAAATGCTTTAAAGATGGAAACCAGGTTAGGGTCACTTCCAAGTTTCTGTCAGAGGAAGAACCAATAGTGTTTAGCTGCTCATTTAACTGTTCATGAGCTATGTAATTATTTTCAAAAAGCAGAAGGATCACTTGTGAAACAAATGAGAGGGAAAACAGATTCAGAATGTGCAAATTAATGACATTTTCTTTTATAATGATTCACAAATGATACAGGAACTATCTTATCACATAGAAATAGGACATATTAGAATTTTATAATGTATTAGAGGTGGTTCTGCCTGTTAATACAACTTTGAAAGAACAGGGAGGAGGCGGCAGCTCTGTCTGCAATAGACTTGCGCTGTCAAGAAGGGAATGAATGAGATGTGCAGTTAACACGTGGTAATTCAGACCAAAGAAGGAAAATAACTGACAGAAGTGATCTGAATTCTCTTGTAAAGACAAAGAAAGGATAAAAAAGAACTACTTTTTAGGATTATAATGGAATGGATTTTTAATTTTTTAAACATGTCAAAAATCTTCTCCCACATACATAGATTTTAAGCCATTCTTTTACAAAGGCCAGTATTGTGTATATGCTCCAGACAAAATTTAGGTGTTTATCTAAAAGTTTCCCCTAGTAAAGACAATATTATGTTAGCTGAGTTGCCTTAAAAATATACACTTGCACATAGTTGCAAAATAAAAAAGTTTTGTTCTATCTGGTTGTTTCCTTCAAGTGCTGATATTCACTTGATTCATTAGCCTAACTGATAATTTTTCCTTTTTTTCCAGATGAATTTATATTCATACAAATCCGAAAGAAATACGCAGATCTTAAAACAAAATCTCCCATACTTCTATAGATACAAAACCTTTCAGATCTGACTCCAAGCATATTTTTCTTTCTTGTTTAGGCCTCACTTCCACTAATCTTCCAAAAGATCTTTCTAAGAACAAATTTAACAATTACTTTTAACTTCAAATATATAATAAACCTCAAATTTCCTTCACAAAGCACTGATCTTTGCTGTGGATGCTGCTTCAGTTCTTATACTTCTAAGCAGTGGACCAGGCAATCGCACCAATCTTTAAAGGCTGATGCCATTTGGAAGACAGCGAAACCTCCATCCCAGATAGAGAAAGTATTTTTTTGAGGAAGAATAAAAAAAGGAGAGAAGTCAGGCAGATTGCAATACAAATTATATCAGGAAATAAAAATATACAACAGCCATGATGACAGCCATTCAGCTTGACAGCTTATTTACTACCACTGGTGCTGCATGGATGCTTTGGCATATCCTCCTGCAGAAAGTCCTGTACTGCAAAAGCATTTTTTTAAATATTAAGAATTCTTTGAATGCAGTATCTCCCCATGCTTGTCTCCAGAGACGAGACAGCCTCAACCACTAGCCTAAAAAGCTGCACTTTTTGAATGGTCTGCTTATGGGTCCCAAATGACAGGGAGCACCCGCTCCTAGAAGGAAAAGAGCCACAGGGATGGGCATTGCAGGGACAAATGCTGTCTCTACCTTCTAGCTCCTGCAGGTTTCTCAAACTGGAAGTGCTGAAGCCTCATGTGTCTTAGCTACCCCATTACTCAGTGTGAGCAGTGGGAGGTTCATTTAAGGATCTTTAAAAACTCCTGGGCTGCTCTGAGCCCAGGTCATCAGGCACAGCAAGGCGAAGTGCTGGCCACCCTGTCTCTGTGTGAGACAGTCTGAGCTCACTCATGGAGCATGGACTCTGATGTCAAGGGTCATTTGTAACTTACCTACTGTTGCAAAACCAAGCACCATCACAACTCAAAAGCAAAAAAAAAAATAAATCCAATCCTCCTGATCACTGTGGACCTCCGCACAGAAATCTGATCACAACCACACACTTCATCACCTGACTTTAAATACTAATTGAACGAGGCCAAGACAGCTTTCAGCTGAGAGTGGACAGTTGTCCAGATCACCAGGCTGACCTGACTGCAGACACCTGGTTGACAGTCGTCTTGCCACCTCCATCAGTGAGGGAAGGACCAGCCTTCTGCAGTCCAAGAAAAGACTGGGGAGTGGGTGAGTAGGGGTAAATGTTCATCTCCTGTTACACAGCTGCTGCTTGGGAGGGGAGAGGGGGAAGGACACTGGAAAAAAGATCTGAAGCCTGAGAAATCCTAAGAGCAGAGAAGAATCCTTGACAGACAGAAAAAGGTCAGGCAGGAGCCACACCTAGCTGGAAGGAGAACTGAGATCCTGTCCGGATGCAGAGCAAACCCTTGTCCATGGGAAGAGTGTCATGTGTCAATTAGGGGCCTGCCCCAGGGCAACAAGCTCAGTTATTACAACTTTGTGTCTTGGTGAGGGTAAATCCTATCTAACAGTGCCAGAAAAGAACTGGTCACCCCTTCCCAGTTCTTCAGTTTTGGTTAGAGTGAAGCAGGAGTTTATTTCAGATTACTGATACCTTTGCTGACCTTCATGGCATGATTCTGTCAGGAGCTTCCTGCGTCCAAAGGAGAGGAAATAGTGCCTCTGTATAACTGGAGCTCCCCTTCCCTCATGGCTCTAACACACACACACACACACACACACACACTTTGAAATGAGCCTAAGTTCTATTAACTTATCTTTATACATTTGTCACCAACCCCTGTGCTCACATCTGGCTTACGTGGATGCCTCTCTGCCCTTCCAGAATGATTTCAGAGCTCAGCAAAGGCATATTGCTCAATTTGCAGGTGCCCCAGCCCCACCAGTCCATCCGTCTTAGGTAAATCTGCTGCTTCCCACTTTCTCCCCATCCATGCCCAGCTTTCTGATCTTCTCAGCCATCTACCTCCTGGGGACAATATAGCCAGCCATGCATATGTGGCTGGCTGCAGAGCAAATCCACAGGTGGGAGAGGGCTGAACCCCGGCCCAGGAGGGCAAACATCTCTCTCTCAGCAAGAGATGGAAGTAAAGAGAGTAAGAGGAAGGAGGAAGCAGCACAGGGGCTATTGCAGCATCTATTATTGAAATCACTGCTTTGTGTACATGATGGGGAATTAACAAGCAGTGCAATCTTCCAGTTCTTTTATTACAAATCAGTTAAGTTTTCTTCCTTCACCTGCAACATATGCTGAGGGTCCACACTCTGTTCCCCAATACAATGCTGGGGGAAGAGGGAAGGAAAGAGTTAATAAAATGGTAGCACTTTCTAGAGAATATGCAACAGATGGAAGAGAAAAGCTTAAGAGAAAAGTGCATACTGTACCGACAGTATAATTAAACAGGCATCCTCACCAGAGTCCATTTCTGCAACTGCAAAAACCCCGGGCAGCTCAAATCCTGTTACTTTGGCTGTTACCACTATTTATCAAGCTGTCATATCACACATATAAGGGGCAATCTATTTGCATGGTCTGTCTGTCCCATCCAGCCACAAAGCTGTTGCAAAATAGGAAATAAATGTTAGCATTTCCTATTGCTTCCAGTATCACTCGGGGATGACCTCTCAGCAGGAATGTACAAGATCCTGACTCAGCCACCTGGGAAATGTGCTACCTCCAGAAGACTGATGAGGGGTTACTGCTGTTCATGTCACGTCTACCACGTTCACTAGGTGTCTTCATACTATTTTACTGTCCTTTTGAACACAAATATCTGTAACCATTATGTTTGATATTGGGTTCTATCCAATGGTGGATATAAGGCATTTCAGCTGTCAGACATCCCAACAGGAGGTTCTGGAGTAGACCTTAGACCTAAGTACACATCTTAGCATGTGTATAACATGGTAGGTTTGGGAAAACATTATCACACATTAACAAGAACACTCTTGGTATTCATCAAGATTAACACTGACAAGATGAGACTATTTAGATGTTTTATGCTGGAAAACAGGAAAACAACAAAAAAGTGCCATTATCTTGCCAATGACTTGTAACTTTCTCCTGTGCTGCCTTTTGCCCTCAGCCCAAGCTGTGGCATGTCTACCTCAGGGATAAGAGAAGAAATCCCCTCTGAAGGTTACTGCTGTGAACACAGGAGAATTCATGCATTAATAGAAAAATATATAACTGTTAAAAATTCTTACATACTGTAACAAGTTTTTACATGTTTTAACTTGTCAGGCATTACAACTAGCAGCTTAGCCCCCCACAGTACATAAATAACTTGGTCCTGCACAGTGTGGTGGCCTTTTTTCCCCTCATTTTTCTCATTGTACAGAAACGAAATATTTTAGTCTTGTTAGTGTTATCTTTAAAACAAACTATCTAGCATGTTCTTACTGTTATGGTTTTGTACAACATTGCTCTGATAAGTCTCTGTTGTGTTATGCCGCCACTGAGTGTCACTATTAAGACAGAACAACAAAGACAGACTTTTCAGGAGGTTTATGAAGTGGTGGGGATGGACCTGGCACCATCCCCGAGGTTAGAGGCACTGTACTTCTCTCAGGATAGCTGTACCAATGCCGCAGTGCTGCTGGTGCAGCGAGCAGAGAGGAATGGGAGCAGCCAGGAGGGGAGGATTCCTTGTGGGAATGATCACGAGCCACTGCCCAGCACAGACTGGTCACCCAGACTTCGGCACAGCATGTGCTAATTTGGGCAAAATCTAGCAGACAATCTAGTTCAGGGCTCTCTATCTCATGCACACAAGACGTCCAAGTGGACTTGTTCAAGAGCTGACATGTAATTTTTAACCTAGCTTGGCCATCCCAGACCAAAGAAACCAACAGTGACAGCCCAGAACCACAATATAGGTTTTAAGGGAAAATTTAGCTGTGCAGCCACAATTTGACAACAGCTAGGCTGAGATGCAACCTCTCAAGAATTGTTTTCACCTTTAAAAGGGTCACAGCCAAAATAATAGCAAAGTACAACTTGATGATCAATGAACAAAGACCATCTCCCGAGTTCCCACCATGTCACAGCATGTAACATATGTGTGTGCTACAGCAAATTATAAAGTTATTATTTCTTATTTCAAAGTCAAATCTTTGCAAAAGGTGAATGGAAGTACAAAGGGAAAAGGTCATGTGTATTGTGAAGCACACACATTTCCTGACAGTGAAGCACTTCCCAAGTCCAACATTAGGACCTCATGTTGTCTTTGACCTGAGAGGAGGAAGAAATACTTACACCCAGTAAAGCAGCATCAGCAGGAAAGGACAGATGATGACTGCCTGGAGGACCTGCCAGTCCCTGCAGAGGGCAGCCAGCCCTGGCATGAGGAACTGCCCCGCCATTTCGATGAAGCTTGCCACCATGGTGATCATGAACCGGTGCCCAGGAGGACAGAGCTCTATCCCTGAAACACAGAGCACACACAAACACACACATTAGTTCTCCACCAGCAAAGGCGCCCACAGAGTATCTCTTTATGAAACTTTCAGGGAGTTAATGTCTTTCAAGACCTTTGGCCAAAGTTATGTACAACCACAGAAACCTTGTTTCCTCCCGGTTTTAGGCTTCAAACACCCAAACAGCTACAGAGAAGCCTACTAACAGCTAGCTGTGGCACAAACATTGCTACTTCCATACTCCCTATTGCATCTCCTGCAGACCTGTTGTATCCTCACTGTCAGCCTTCTCTTGGTCTCTGTCTAAAGAAGTATCTTACAGTTTGGTAAAATTCTTGGTTTTTAAAGGGAATGTAGGATAAAACACAATCCAAAGATTTTGGGTTGAGCCTTTTCACATTTCTCAGAGACGTCACATGTCCTTCCAATCAGTTTGCTGGGAGGCAGAAGAGCACAGCTCTCAGTAGGATACAGGCTCCCAGTTCATACAGGATGCCACCTGCCCACAGTTTAATATGCTACAACTCAGCCAGTTTCAAGCTGGATTTTGCTGAGTGGGTTATTTCTGGGTTTGCAATAGTTAATCTTGATCAACTTTCAAACAAGCCCATCTTCCACCTGTCTTATCCTGTCTTCCATCTTGCCTTTTGCTGTGGGGCAATTTACTGTCATCACTGGCATCACTGCTTGTCTCAGCTGCCTCATGACAAGCAAGTTCAGTAAATAGTTTCCTTAAACCCTGAATTCTGGCTACCTTTATTCAGTCTTCAGAAATGAAGATGAATTTATCAGAATCACAGCTTTAAAAGACCAAAACAAAACCACCACCAGCAACAAAAACAACCATAAAAAAAATCACAGAATAAATAGCAGAAAAATTGGACTGCCTTGTGGAAATATATTAGAACAATTTTTTTCACCAGTAAAAATGCAGTAGATGTTCTTATTTCATATTTCACATTAGCCCACATTCACTTCTACAGATTAATAATTAAGCACAATAAACCTGCCACAAATGTTGTGTAGTACTTATCGGCATGCTGATAAAGAAACATGAGCTCGTAGACATTTATGATATGTTACTGTCAGCATTGTTGCTTTTCCTTGGGATGTTTCCTACGGTTGTTTTAAATTAGAATTTAACGGCTGTTAAAATTTTAATTGAAAAGCTGTAAGATAATAGGCAGAAATGACAGCTGCTCCTTCATTCACTCTCTCATCTGTCGCTTGTTCAGCATTTCTCACTGTAACACAGATTTAAACTAGCTGACCAGGAACTAGCTTGTAGATCAAAAGTTTTCCCCCCCCCCCCCTTTCTTTTCAACCAATGACAAAAACTACTGATGGATTTTTGCCAATAAAGAATGAAAATGTATCTGTTGCAAGGCAGCCCAAATTTTCATTAGCTTAACCATAAACACAGCAGCTTTGGAAAAGAAAGGAGAAAAATAAACCTCAAACACTTTCACTTGCTATAAAAGGCTTTCACATTTTAATTAGGAAAACAAGATTAAAACACAGAGCTCCTTACGATATTAACATGGTTTCATTCTTACTAATTAAGTATCCCAAGCCTAGGCGATTTTTTTATCCGGTGCAAAGAGGTCATTTCCATTTTATTTCTCTAATCTTCAAATATAAAGCAGTTCTGTTTGTTTTTCTAAACCTTAAAGTCCCAGTTACTCACACTCCAATATTCCTTCATTAAGTACAAGGACGAGTTTTGTTGCTATAGAAACAGGAAGTCTGCATTAGATAGGTAAGTCTTTGGCATTTCGATTGCACTGCTTAGGTTAGAATCAGATAAAGGAAAAATGAACCAAGAGAACAACTTTTATATGAAGTCAGAAAAAGGTGTCCAAATAATAAAATTTTATTTTATTAAGTCACTGGTGTATAGTACATAACTTCATATGCAGCAGTTATTCATCGTATAGAAAGGAAATAACTTCAGAGAATATTTAGCATCTATTTTCTGCTCTGGATTATCACAGGCATGTAATCAATTTTTGCCCTTTCCTCTAAAAAAGCTGGAGAAGACAAAAAAAAAAAAAAGAAAACCCTGCTGTAGATGAGTGAGCATGACTTTTAAGTGACATCAGCAGGCACTCCATGTATATGAATTATCACATCTCTGTTGAAGTGTTCAACATATTAGGACAGCCTACTGACTTTCCAACATCTCTGGCATCATATGATAAAAGATTCAGGACTGCAGTTTTTAGCAAGCATTTAGCAGCCAACCTTTTCCCACCTCTGCCAGCAAAGCCACCAGCTGCAGCACCTCTGCCCCAGCACCAGGAAGGCACCCTGCTGATACTCACATTGGTGCCACGATGCGCCCAGGCATCTATGCCTGCAATGATTTCCACCCAGTTTGCATGATAAATTACCAACTCACATGAAAACACTACAGGGAACAGCTTTATCCACCTGTGGCAAATCCAGCAAGAAAGCTTCAGCTTCCCCACTCAGTGTAAAGGTTTCCACCTCCAACTTCTTTATGGAGCATGGACAGTCAAGTAAGCTCTTATCATACACACAAATCATGGAAATTACCATCAGTACCAAGAACTCCCAGATACATCTGTTTCCTCTACTTGGAAAATTTCATGGGGGAAGGAGACAGGCACGGAAAGGATTTTCCTTCCTTGCCCAACATTTCTACTCTAGGCAGCACAGTCAGAGCAGCAGATCCAACTCAGATGCCTAATTTCCATTAAGTCCCAGGCAAACAATCACGGTGGCAAGTTGAAACCTGTACGCAAAGCGGTCCTGCAGTACTCGGGCAGTGAAATCAGACATGCCCAGGAAATCTGGGACAGACTTCCTCACCATCAGTAGATGCCCAGTAACAGCAGACACCACAGGTGCAGAAGCAGGACCCAGCCAACCCCCATGGCAGAACTCCACACATGCTGCAAGCATGACCCAGCCTGAAGGCAATGGCCTCACCACATCTGGGATGCAGACCTGGTCCTTGTAGGCATCACTGACACAAGACACTGAAAACACGAGGCTCATTGCACAGCACATGCCTCTAGCTGAGAAACACAAATATAAAGTGTATAAATCCTCCTTTCGGACCCTATCCTGTACATCCTTCCTCTACAGCCATGACCAAATCAACGTTCAAGCAGCCCACAAACCTGCCACAGGGAAAGCTGGTGTGAACTATGCCCCTTCTTACCAGGGATTCAAGCATTTTTGGGGCCTGCCTGATGCACTCAAAGTAATCCCACTACTAACACACAGGAGGTGCAGACACGTTCTGGCACAGAAGGAACAGCACTGAGGCCAGATATGTTACTTCAGGAGTCCGTATATAGCAATTTGTACCAGAAGCATTAAAACTGGTGATGAACAAAGGCAGAGTAAAAGTCTGTGTGTGCGTATGAGTGTATGCATGTGTGAGAGCAAGCAAGCAGGCTCCTGAAAGATAGGCAGAACATATTAAAGGAATGGCACATGCCCGTTGTGCCAGTTGCATCCTACTCATGATTTCATTCAAGTAACAAAAAGAGGAGGAACTACCTGACTACAGATAAGGTGTCAAAAGGATGAAGCACAGGATTGGAGTCATAAAATATCAAGACCACGAGGAAAAAAAGAAGATAACAGAAATTCATTAAGTTTGCCGGAGAATTATGAGGGATGAGAAAAATATTAAGCAAAAAATTGCAATCATCAACTCCTAAAGGGTATAAAAAGCAAACCAAATTGGTTGGTTGTTGCCTGTCAAGAACAACCTCAGGGATGTGATGAGGATGCAGCAGCCCCTGCCTCTTGTTCTGTGTCACACAAGTGATCCTGACCAGACCACGTGGACAGATGCCTTGGTACTTGCGAGTGCAGATGTTTGAGAATGAATGAAATCCACGAGAGAATGAGTGTGGTTGTGCAAAATCTGCCTACTTAGAGGCTTTTTGGGGAAAAAAAACCCAAAACAAAACAACTTTGTCCTTCTATATAGTCCCTCACTGAGTTATTTAGAAAGCCCATAGGAAATGTTTTCAAATATTGACCAAGGGAATAAGAACCACAACAGCTATATTGGCTGTTGCTGGTGACAGAGGCCAAGCACAAGAAAAGGACTTTCAAACCAACATTTCTGGTATACTAAAAGAAAGGATTTCAGAGCAGCTCCCCCACCACTTCATACATTGTCCTTTTTGCTTACCCCTAGCACTGAAGCGACGGTCCTACTTGACCCCTAAGAGAGCCACATGCACCCCTAGGATCTATTAAACTTTCTAGATATGTGCTGAGGGAAAAGTCTCTGCTGCGGAGGGCTCCATCCCCAATGCTCCCCACACTTCCCTCTGGAAGCAGCCTTGGAGGTGTCCTGGGCTGTCTTCCCTCACTGGTGCGCTCCCCCCGGAGCATGGGCAGCCCTTGGGTTTCAGAGGAGTTGAGTTTCACAACAGATGCTGACCTGAGAAAAGCTGCCTCAGATGCCAATGGACCTACAGGGCTTTGAGCCTGGTCAGACTTTTTGACCATCTAGCTTTAACAAGCAGGTTGTTGGGGTACACTTGCACCTTGGGTGAATAGAGAGTCCAACAGAGGTTTCAAACCCACTGCATTTTGCAAACATCTAAAAAGCACAATAAGTGATTTTTAGGACCAGGAAAACTATGAGCTGAAGGCAACATTTTTACATGCATATCCTCATTTGATCCACATTGCACGCTATGTGAAAATAGCAGCAAGGTTAGAGTAGGATTTTCTTGACAGACCAAAACGAAGATACAACTGAAAATGAGACATTCATGGTTATTTCATAGAAGCCAGTCCAGAGCATGCCACTGGAGTTGGATGGGGTAAGATCTCCCAAACAGGTTTTGGAATACTAAAATTACTTTTCTTTAAACATGATTCATTTTTTGTCCCTCAGTCTCCCTGTGTTCCCCTGTGTAGCCCTTTGGGACTCTCATTAGAAACAAGGGAAAGCCTAAACAAGCCTTCATGGGGAAAAGCAGGTCCATTCCACAGAGCACATGAAATG